GGGGCCCCTTGCATTTGCAAAGCCCAAATGGGCAGGCGAGGAGTTGCCTGTGGCCAGATGTCTTCAGCAGGACTTTGCGCTGGGCATCCAGCACGTTGGCAGCGATGGGCGGAGCAGGATCGCTGAGAAGGACATCTTGCTCACTCTCACTGTGTTCGCCCGCTGTATTGTGTGTTTCACTCTCACTGACTTCGCCAAGTGGGGCTGAGTTTGTATGCTCACTGTGTTCGACAGGATGTGAAATGGCAGCGGGCAAAATGGCAGTGGCAGGGGGTGAAGCAGCGGGCGGAGAGGGATCGGAATGGGTTTGTTGTGTACCCGATGGATCTGGCAGCACCATTTGAGCGGGTGTAGGTGATTGCACCAATGGCTCTGGCGTGGCACTGCCGTTTGTGTCACCGTCACCATCATGCGCGGGAGGGGCAATAGGGGTGGGCGCGCGGAGTGCGGTGGAGCGAGGAGGGGAGTCGCTTTCATCCGAAGACATGGTCAAGAAATCCGATGGTGTGTTAGGAATCGAATGATGTGTCTGCCCTGTGGACTCGGGCGAGGGTTGCTGCTCCCCGCTGCCATTTGGCTCAGAGGGCACCGATGCTGACAAATCCTCGGTCACAGGGGCCGAAGATGTGGCAGTGGCGGCGGCAGGAATTGCCGCAGCAACTTGAGCAAAGGAGCGAGGGCTGGATGTCGTGCGAGGGGTGCGGGGAGAAGCATTGGAAGTGTTTCCGAGGCTGGGATGTTGCTCCCCGCCGCCGTTTGACGTCCTGGTCACTGGCTCGGCCGCGGGCACGACGGCACGTGCCGAAGACTCGGTCGCACCGGCAGCGGGGGACGTCGAGGGCACATGAGACGAGGCACGAGCGGTAGGGACAGAGTGGCGGGCGTGAGGGCGAAGCGGGGTGGTCATGGGGTCAGGGAAAACATGGTTACGGTCGTGGCGAGCGCTGCCATGTTTCGTGTGTTTTGCAGAACGATGAGTTTGGGAAGGCGAGGTGGTTGCGTTGCTTGGAGGTGATTCGGCACTCGGGCGCTTAGCACCGCGGACTTGGGTCCAAGAATCCTCGCCGCCGGACTCAGTGGCCATGTCCGCGGGGCAAGCTAGCGAGCAAGCGAGCGGACACGGTGGGAGCGAGGGCGCCGCCAAAGCGCGGGCCGCAAAGAGCGGGGTTGCAGATTTTATCTGACAACGTGGTTCACGCCAAGATGTCAGAAAAAAGGATCGTGCTCGATTTCAAGCGAGCCCGACCTGCGCGGGCCGGTTCGGTTAAGCACGATCTTCACGGACCAAATCCGACGCGCCCTCCTGTCGATCGAAACGGGTCTGCTCGGACCTGGGCTCATGAGGGCTGGTCGGATCGTGCGCGACTCACGCGAGCCCGACCTGCGCGGGCCGGTTCGGTCGAGCCCGATCTTCACGGACCAAATCCGAAGCCCCTCCTGTCGATCGATACGGGTCTGCTCGGACCTGAGCTCGTGAGGGCGCGTCGGATCGTGCGCGACTCAAGCGAGCCCGACCTGCGCGGGCCGGTTCGGCCAAGCACGATCCTAATTTATTATTATTTATTATTACGATCCTCACGGACCAAATCCGACGCGCCCTCCTGTCGATCGATACGGGTCTGCTTGGACCTGGGCTAGTGAGGGCTTGTCGGATCGTGCGCGACTAAAGCGAGCCCGACCTGCGCGAGCCGGTTCGGTCGAGACCGATCTTCACGGACCAGATCCGACGCGCCCTCCTGTCGATCGACACGGGTTATTTTGCATGCCGTCGTGATTTTGATGTCGGGGTTGCACAGCTTTCCTTTCAGCTCTGAGGTTCAAACACCTAATTTATTTACGGGTCTGCTCGGACCTGGGATCGTGAGGGCGCGTCGGATAATAAAATAATAAATTAGGTGTTTGAACCTCAGAGCTGAAAGCAAAGCTGTGCAACCCCGACAACAACATCAAAACGGCACGCAAAACAACACAAGAGAACAAGTTACATTCGCTGGCTTTTATCATTCCAAAAAGTACAAGCGCGAAGAATCCTGCACATAGAAACAAAAATCGTACAAAACGACCAAGTATAACCAGAGACACGGCCATTTTAAACACAAGACACATAAAAAGGCAGTCACACATCACAACGACAAGCCATCACAGCACAAACACAATGAACACCACGGCACGCTCACATCCAACGAGACACAACGTCGGATTGAGAAAACAACCGACCACAGAAGACAAAGGCATCAT